CCTCTCCGTCATATATCTTGCCAAGTGGTTCGTGCTGCTGTGGTTTCACTTTTGGGGCATCCTGTGACATCGTCAAACCTTTGGGTCTCGAAAGGGTTGGTTTCCAGCCCAAGTGGCACAAAGATTGCTAGCAATCACCACTGGGAATTCGTTTACTCGTTCGAATTTCGGGCTCAGAACATTGCTCTGGAAGAGTCGGCTCTCGACCAGACATTTCCGGTGGACACTGCGACGCTGCTAGTACGTCTTTGCCTCTGCTATTCGAGCCGGAGAGGTTCATGTAAGCCCGTCCAGGTTTTATTTGCTTCCTATAATCAGTCGGGACTGACGCTGAGCTCGGTCAACGCTCTCAGGTTGACCAAGATGTGCGCGACTAGTAATGCCTGGATACTAGTCCTATTCCCATCAGGCAATGCATTCTTGCTGCGAACAAGATATTTCCAGCTATGATATCGGCAAGCTAGCTGGCAACATTTGCGGAATTTCTTGGTGAATCAGCAAAGATTCTCGGCTGGCGGTCTAATGCGATGTAAGCGATCGATTTCCCTTTCTTTCGAGTGCTGATTCGTCGGTTAGACTGTCTGTCAGAGAGCTCACTGGAGGTGATCTCAACTGATTCTTTCATTTAATTCATTTGACGCGTCACAGAGAGCACAACGATGTATGTTGATCTTCCAACTAGCAATAAACAACAATTTTGCAGGCCACGGCCCGCCTTCACTTGCCCGCCTTCAGCGATCCGGTCCAATGCGCATCGACGGATCAGCAACCTTGATGCGCTGTTAACTAACGGTGGCGCGCCAACATAATACAACTATTACAGTTCAGAACTCGGTTCGCAAATACTGTTCGCCGACTCCTGAAGTTGACGTCAGATCCAATGACCACTTCACCTGGTTGCCAGTCGGGAACAAGCTGCTCTTCGTCACTTAGAGAGTGACGCTGATGCAGCTCAAAGAAATCAAATTGCCTGGAAAGCTGGCATCGGCAACGATCCTGATAGTTGCGACCCACTTACCATGGGAATTGTCCTTGCAGAAAACGGCCTGGGTGGTGCTGAAAACAAGAATTCGAGGCTTGATGTTACTCTATTTTTACCATTGGCCAGCGCCGAGACCAGCAAGGGCGATGGGAAGGCAATTCAGCCCAGCCAGGACACTGGGGTTGGGAATCTCGATGTGAAGGAATCCCAAGATACTGCCAATTGTGTCAGTGCTGGACTGCAGGACATAGTTGCAGCATCTGAGATTGCCAGCGCTGCAGTCGTTGAGTACTTGGGGTGGCGACCGCAAGGGTAGCAAGAGCAAGAGTGATGATCGAGAGTGGTTTATGGCAGGTACGGCAGTGAAGAATTCCATGTAAGCGCTTGCTGTTCACTCCCGGCGCCCGCCGACTAAGCATTGACAAGTGGCACTGCACCACATTGCCCTTCTGTCGGGACGGAACATGACTTCACTGAAGACGATCAGAGGTCGCAAAATGCATTTGACGTCACTGAAGACATGTACGGGGGCAGAATGTGTGCCAGAAACTCAGGGGGAGCAAGCACGCAAATTCCCATAAACTGATTTAGATCACTTGATCTATTTCAATGTGGAATTGAACTCGAGTGCCAAGAATTCAGCGTCCAGACTCCTGATTCAAGGCAATAAGCCCAGAAGAGGCAGACAAACGAGTTGTGTACGAGTAATTACTTTGGTACCAGCCGCAGATGTCGATACATTGCAATTGCGCCGCAAAGCTTTTCGCCGTTTGCTACGATCCAAGATTCAAAACCGCGCTCATTCAACCAAGACTAAAGTCTTGCGACTTTTAGGATTCCTTACTCTGAATAGAACATATCCGAGGATCAGTAAACATAGAATCCGACTTATCTGCTAACGTTCAAGTCTTCATCACGAGGCGGACCATCAAGCTCACAAGGCTACAATAGGAAATCTCCTAATACTGAGCTCGCAACCCTGTACTACAGCAAGATTCTGAAAGACTCGAGTTTTCCAGACCTGGCTATAGCAGATCAGGATGCAGACACATTGAGGAGACCACAGTTTAGGACGGTTCCGAACCCTGCGGAATTTGCGCATATATTGGCAAAACCATGGATTCAGCCATAACGTCAAGGCCCCCGAGCTCGCCGTAATTTGGAGAGACTCAGAAGGTACCAGCTGGTACTGGGTGGATTGCGGTCTATCCGATGGACGACTCGCCTGCTTCTTCGCTCTCAAGTTGAAGAGACAGGCTTTAGGTCAGAGACCCAACTATATCCTCTAATTTGAAGAAGGAACCAGAAACTTACAAGTGAGTTTTAGAAGAGTAAAGATCGTTCATTTCTCAAGTATTTCAAGATGAACCGGATCTAGCTATATTAAACTAAGCAAAGTAGTATCCCAGATCTATCGAAATCTTTGGAAACATCACTTGGATCAGGAGTCTCCGCCGCACTGTACGGTATGCAATCCCGACCGGATATCGGTGGCGCAGATCACATGTTCTGATCGAATCTTCGACATTGATCGGTCAGTTTATGGGTCGATCACCTTGCTTAACGAACTGGGGCAGGTCTCCTTCTAGTGAGAATTAGGCGATCCCAGAGATGCAAGGATAGAAAAAAAACCTAACACACACAAACAATTTTCGGCAAAGTCCTTTGGGGGCTATTTTGCCGAGATTGCCGCGTTCCCTAACACAGACAAATATCTTCACCGTGGCTTTTGTTCCCTTGCCTCTCCTTACACTGCCCCTTCAGGGTCTTCTGCCTTTCCACCTCTCGAGTGCCGTAACTTTCAACCTCATGCTCTTTCTGAAATTCCTTGTGGATGTTCGAGTAATCACCGTATCTGAGGTCCTGTACAATGCCCTGGTAAGTCAATTCCCCTCTTTCTTCGCCGCTCATTTTTGCCGCAGCGGCGCAGCGGAATCCAGAGAAAATACGAGCCAAGTCATCCTTGCATGTAAGGCCATTGTTGTGGGCCCTCTTTCCTTGTGCTCATGCCTGGTTCTCAGCTTATCGTCGATTTGGGCCTTTCTCTCTCAAATTTGTCGACGACGGTCTCAATGCATGGTCGGAAAAAGCTGCATGCCTTTATATCGACTCTTTGAATCGTTTCGGAAAACCCAAAAAGTGGTGGCCAACCGTCGAATATGATGATTTTACTTTGAGTCCTCCAATCTCCCGGGCACACGAGTTGATCGCATTCTAGACCGCTAGACCTACAGGATTGACTATTATCGGCTCTGTAGTAGACTGTGTTAGTACTTGAAATCATAGCCCTTGTTGCAAATTGCAGAAAGAAAGAAAAAATGTGATTTCAAAGCAGATTAAAATTGTATAGAAGTGTCGCTCTTGTCGTCGGATGAGGCTGTTGATGTGTTTCCCATTTCTTCTCCGCTTTCAATCCATTTGCTCATCACATCAACATATTGCTTGTCATATCTGTGAAATATCAGTGAGAACCAATGCCCTAGAGAAGTATGCACTGAAAGTATCCGACGTCATCAATTCGAAGACGTCTCAGATCTCGGAGTGTCCGCAATGGGTTAGCTGTGCAAGCCGATGTATACTGGAAGAGGAGTCTGTTGTCCTCAAGAAGGGGTTTGCAGACCTGGACAAAGGGATGAAAATCTGTTGAATCTGGTCCTCAGAGATGCCACAGGTTTCCCTCATAGCAATCAAGGACTCTGTCTGAGTTCTTCTGTTGCGGAAATGTTATAACCCAAGTGTCGTGGTCGCTGATTCATCTTGGATGGCGATGAAACATTCCATTCTCACAACTGTGGGTCAGATCGAGGCCAGTAAGACTTCTGTAACCTCATTGTTCATATTTTGAGATGGCCATGAGTGGCACAAATCTATCCCTTAATCTCCCAGTGACCAGGTTTATCTCGCAGATGAATGTCTCATAAGGGTAAAGGCTGTAGGCCCGGGCCCCTGTGATAAAATTCATCACAACTGCTGGCTTTTGTTAGATTGTGAGTTTAGCTTGATGATGACTCACTAGAATGGTAAGATAGGATGTCATCTGTTGGCATCTTCTGTGCAATTATGATCTGCATTGTTTTGCTGCCTTCATTGAACAAATTGATGATGCCTTGACCCTGTATAGCAAACAGTGAGGCAATGAAATGAAGTTGCTAAACAACACACCATCATGTTCTTCCTCCCTTTCTTCATAGTGATCGAGGTGTTCTGCCCAGCAACGGAACTCCCCGGGCCGCGGACAGTCTCGATAGCCTGCACGCATGCAAAACTCAATGAGAAGTTCTGCTCTTCCCATTCAAGTGCTCAGTTAAATGATCGATTAAGTAGTCTAGTTCTTGCCCTGGTAATCTCAGGTATTACACTGTGCTAGAGCTGTTGGATTGCCAGAAAGCCCTTGAAAGGCTCCACAACATGCCCATGACAATACAGTATTTGACCGCTGAGTTGAACACCCAAATTGTATTCTGGCCTACAGATTGGCCTCAGTGGCAGAATACAATTTATGAGTTTGGAGAAAGCCTGGGGGATGCCCTGTCCATGTCTGTACCAAGTTTGGTAGGAATTGTCCCAGACATCATGGAGATATTCAGTAATTAGAGGTGTTCATGTGAGTGATATCTGAGTTTGGAATATTTTCACATATATTGACAGTGCCATATCTCCGTCATTTCTTGCCAGATTTGTATAAAAATTGGACGTACTTTTCTGGATTCATATTCACTATTTTCTGGATATTTATTCCATACTTAATTTCCATGGTGTGCTCTGTTTCCACAGTGTTCAAGTGAGTGATCGTGTTCAACTGACCGGTCAAATACTGTACTCGTGAATGGCAATTGTGGTCAGCTCTACACTGCGCTCTTCAACCCAAATGTGATGTTAGAGGCTGACATTTTCAGAGAGACTGTGGGTTAAGCAAAGTTAGAGGCACTGAAGGTGCTACTTTCATGTAAATGAACATTTCAAATGAATATGAAAATTCACCGGCCGAACTAAGGGTTCGGATGCAAAAAGAACATTTAGCCCACCGCGAGGGTCGAACTCGCAGCCTTCAGATCGCCCGTTTTGCCTAATGAACTCGACGTAAGAGTCTGACGCTCTATCCGATTGAGCTAGGCGGGCTTATTATGAGCGTGTAGCGATAGATATAACATACATCTCTCAAACTGAAACTAGGGAAACAAACGAGTTTCCATCGAGTTACGGCCAAAACATGAAAAATCGTGTTTTGATCCCAATTTGACCGCCGATCGGCGGCCATCATTGGGGCCCTCTTAGCGGCCAATAGGGGGTACATTTCACAAGTTGAACCAAAGGAAACGGATGTGTTTTCATCGAGTTGTAGCGAAAATACGAAAAAACTCATTCTTGATCTCGTGATCTACCCATCCGATCACAGAACGCGACAGACTCGGCCGGATATACACAGAGCTTTGGCGACCAATGTCAGTTCCATTGTACAACTTGAATCTAAGCAAACGGACGCGCTTTCGCCGAGTTGTGGTCGAAACATCAAAAGCCGAGCCTTTGATCCGGCTCCCGGAGCGACTTGGAGTCGTTCGGCAGGCAGCACAGGAAGGACTCTGGCACAGGAAGAAACACAGAGCAGAGAACAAGTACTACCCGCCTGGAAGAGACTGGACAGATCGAATTCAACAGTCACCCACTTGGGGGCCGGCGAGATACAAGGTCCATTTTTCAAGTTGAATTTTTTTTGAAAACGGACATGTTTTACTGTAGTAGAGTTGTGGTCAAAACATGAGGAACACGACCTTTGATCTGACTATTGGTCACTTCTGAGGCAATATAACGATTGATTAGATGTGACGAAAGTCGCCAGAAATAAGGATATGCAGTCGGACTTGTTCTGCTAGATCTCAGAGTCGCTCTAGTTGCGCTCTACTCTTCTCTGAGCGAATCAAAGCTCAGAAACTCACTAGTCCACCTGGGTATATAGAGACAAGTTCACCCGAGGGTTTCTGCCTATCTGGGGCGATCCAAGGCATGGGGACATTTGTGAGTCCGCAGCCCAGCTCCATCAGCTGACGTGTCGAATTACCCGGTCACGTGTGACTGATTGAGCAATGAGCTAGGCGGACTCGGCCCCGGCCCCAATCTGACGCTCCGGCGATTGAGCTCGATGAGAAAATATGTTTCAAGATGCTCGAGGTTCCAGGCAAGGTCCAGGAGCCAGCTGACCACCAAGTCCAGAGCGCTCACTCGGAGTTTTAGAGTCATGTCTCGGAACCGAAGGGGACCGGAAAACAGTTTGCGAGTTGGTTCAAGTTGGTAAATGTACAGACATTGCTTTGGTTTCAATTAATTCTCTTCAACGACTTCTTCTCTAGATGCCAGTGCGACTCGTCCCCCTGTCCACAACATTGCTTCCACGAGTGACATTGCTGGTCCCGCCCGACGAGGTGATACCGTCGCCGGATTGCGCCTTGCCTAGCTGGAGCATTTTCTCGGCGACAGCGACATCATTATGGGTACCGAAGGTTGTATCCAACTGCTGCTTGGATGGTGCACCGAGGATCCCTTGCGAGCCCTGGCTAGAAACAAAGACGGAAAATGCTACGAAACGATGAGAAATGAGAGAGCAGTGAGCGCAAATGACGTACAGTCCACGACCTCTGCTATTGGTATCGTTCTAGAAAAGACAAAAGTCAGGGCTGCTATAAAACAATGTACCAAGAAGTTGATTTACGTGTCTAAAAAAGTCGAGTTAGAACAAGATCCAGGGCAATCGAATGGTTAACTGACCTCCATCTTTCCATTTCTTATACTAGAAAACAGAAAACAAGTAAATAACTGGAATCACACGACTGATAATGAGCGCATAAACTGACCTCTTCCGGATTGACAATGATGGTATATTCTTCTGTAGACTGGCTGTCTGGCTTGTAGATGACTTTAGTGAGTGATTTCGTCATGGTTGAGATAAGAATTCGAGGTGGTTGTGGTGGTGGTCGAGTAATGCAGAATCAATTCCGCTGGCAACGCTTTATACGAGAAGCCGTGGGAAATGACATCACATGTAGCTCGTGACGTCACGCGCATCATTGGAGCGGTTTAACCGAGCGCCAACATCGGGTTGAAGCGCCACATATGCTCAAAGCGACCAGCTTCAGGTTAAAAATATTGGTGCAATTGGACGAGAAGAAATAGCCTAATTTAGACAATCTAATCTTCAAGTCTAGACCAAAAAACTCGGCGGTTCGAGTCAGTACGTGGCGAGAGGCGTCCCAAATTGGTCAACGGCACTAAAGATGGTCTATTTTTCCTCAGCAAATCGGCAAACGGCAGAAGCAAAAAAGAGCTGACCTTCCATGGGCGCACTGGAATGGAAACGCAGTCTGTGTCAGCTGAGAAACAAGTCTTTCACACTGTTCCCGATTGAGCGGGTCATTGAACATGATTGCGCCTGAAAATGAATGAGATGAAGATACGAGACGCTGGCGGAAACGTACCGCGACAAGCTTTAGAATTGATCAAGTCCAACAGCTCCTTGGGGCACCATCGGAGAGCCTTGAGCCAAACAAACTCGCTCGCGTTTCCATTCTCCTCAGAACCCATGCCATGGTTCTTGGGATTCAATGGCGTATCAGCTTCAAGCCTGGCTAAAAAGCCCTTGACGAGATCGCGAAGCTCATCCCCTTGCAGGAGCTGTGACAAAAAAGAATTAGAGAACAATAGGTGTCACAACCAATTGTTCTCTTGCCTTGTCGCCGACGACCTCCGGGATTTTCTCAACGGATACTTGGAAATATCCACTTTCATTGTCTCCAATCTCGTCCCCTATATGTTCAGCTGCGCCACTGAGATCCGAAAAGCAGAAACCCCAGTTCCAGAAAGCTCGCCGGACTTCTTTTGACACAGCCAATCGGATTACTTCTGGTTTCGTCAACAAAATGGGAATCGGAGGAGATAAGTCTCGCAGTTCGACGGAAGACTGATTACAGCTAGCTCTCTCCGAGTTGTGCAAGAATCCGAAGCAGATCTGTTTCAGAAAGCGCTCTACTCTGACCCGCTCGTCGGCGGCATGCTGATCAATAAGGATAAGAGAAGGAGGTATAGTTGGGCGCTGAACGAGACAAGCAATGAATTTCTTATCGACTTGGCTGATGACCGAGCAATTGCTCAGGTCGGATTTGCCGAATCGGTCCGATATTTCTTGCTTGGACAAAAACTGCTGTTCACGGAGCCGCTGTTGTCTTCGGTCAGTTCCTTGACGGCAGTCATGCTGTGGATCGTGTATTTCAGGCTGTGGAAGAATGACAGCGGGGATCTGACCCTGAGCTGTGTCATACGTATCATTCGCCTGGCTCCTTTAGCGTAAATTCGAGATATGGCAAAGAAACCTACCTTTAAAGCGTCTCGTATCCATTCAGGCATAGTAGCTCCAGGGACAGCTTTGACTGACTGAGGCAACGTGCGTCGCAAAGCGATTTGGGCTGTTTCATCTGTTTTTAGCGGATCTCCTTGGGGTCTTGAATTCCCAGTTCGTGTGTCAACCATGAATGATTCTCCGGTATTTGGATCTTCCCACAGGACTTGACCGTCGTCGAGGTCGTCATCTTGTTGTCGAATAAACAATGGTCCATCTTTTCGAGGGGATTGAAAATGATGGGAATCCGAGAATACTTCCGCATATCCTGAATCTCCTTCGAAATCGACATCATCATCGAGCTTTCTGCGTTTCTTTGGCAGCTCTTGGTGTCTAGAAGACATGGCCGAATTGAATCCGTGTCGCGACAAGAATTCTTTCACGGCAGTTGAAAGAAAGGATTCGACTGCAGTTTTGTTCTATAAATGTTTGAGTTGAATATTCTCCAGCATCAAAGTGATTTACCTGTAAGTGAACTATCGCTTTAGATGGCTCTAGACAGTTGTCCACTTGATGAGGGGGTATCGTGAGGTTTAAAACGTATACCGGCCTCTTTTCGGCCTTGCGAGGTGAGCGTCTCGCTGCTGCTCGAGGACATCAGATACAAGAGCGTCACAAGTCAACGACGACATACCGGAGCGAGGCAGTTCCATGTCCCCATTTTCATCCGAGGCCTGATAATGAGTGAAACATCGAGTGAACAATGAGACCTTACATGTTTCGCAAAGGAGCTTGCAGCGAAGCGGGAATCTATGACACTGTGCAAGTCCCCAAAGGCTAAAGGATGTCGATTCACATCTAGAAAGGAATCCAGAAAAGGAGATGAGGAACAGGTTCTGTTACTCACAAAGGTATTGATATGCCTGTGTTGAAAAGAGGCGTCAACTTCTTGTTCAATGAAATGCTGAATATGAACCTTGGTGTGAGCGCCCGAGAGGCTGATGAATCCGGACAGCTTCATGTCTCCCGAGACGAGGTCAATGTTATCGACATCCTTGACGAATGTCAGATAAACCAAAGGGTGAAGGCTTCAACCTACCTTGGTCATTGCCCGACCGAAAAGATGCCCAAATGTCTTGAGTGTCGTCGACGTCTAGGTGAATGAGGGAGGTGACCCGAGAATCAGACATGCGATATACCGACCTTCGGCACTTTCATGATAGCCTCCTTTGCAGAAAGACTAGTCCCAACATTTTGAGTGCTCTCGAGGGAAAAAGAGACGTCAGGAAAGACCAAGGCATATGCTTGTATCTCCTGCTTGATTAATTCCATAGTTCGCGAAGGTGTTGGATGCGAAAGACGTCGGACGGGCAGCTTAATGGACGTTGACAATGAAAGAAAGGTATTTGCGAAGACCTACATTATAAAAAGCGTCACGAATACAGACCACTGTGCCTGACTTTTCGCGTCTCCAGCGAACTGCACGTCCATTGTAAAGAGTTTTACCGCCCTATTGCAACATTAATGTCGCTCGAGGAATGAAGGAAGCTTGCAGACTTTGACAATGATGGACCAGGTGTCCCGGGATCTCTGTGTTCGCGAACAGATCTCCAAACTGCATAGATCAGCTGCGGAGGCCAAAGCTAGAGGACATGGTCTCAGCCCAACTCAACGAACATTTCTTGAAATCACGCACCTTCTCCACGGAAACCGAACGTGGTTAAAAGATCCAACGAGTCTGGAGTATATGCCTTGGAGCTTCCTAGTCATAATGTTAGCATTTTTGGTCCCGTGG